CCTTGTGGGATTTCAAATTATGGATTCAATGTAGGCAATAGTATAGGATGATTCCAGTTTTCAAGATCTTCTAATGTCAGTTTTAGAAAGCTATTAAAAAATTTGTTCATTTTTTTCTGATATTTAAAAACAGCTTTACTAACAACAAAAAAATAAAAACAGCTTTACTGAGGCATAATTGACATACAAAAACTGCACATGTGAAATGTACAACCTGATTAGTTTTGACATGTGTATACATTCCTGAAACCATCACTACAATCAAGATTTTTCCATCTAGATTTAAAATTTATTAGTACTTATAATATCCTCTTAAATATTTTTAATGCCTTTCTGATCTGAAGCAATTCACCCATTTTCCCTTCTGACATTGGCTATGCCTCTGTCCCACCCACCCCGTCTCCTTCCTTCCTGAACGGTATTATTACAGGTTTACCAATCTGCTTAGTCCTTTTAAAGAACCACATTTTTACTTTCTTGATGGGTTTCATTTGCTGCTTGTTGTTTTTTTAATTTAAATTTTGAGGTGATTGCTTGGATAATTTTCAGCTTCTCTTCTAACATACACATTTAAAGACAGTAATTTTAGTTGCAACCCACAAGTTCTTTCTCTGTAAGTTTTGATATGTGAAGAAGCATTTCCATTATCAGTTCAAAATATTTAAAATTCCCTTTATGATTTTTTCTTTTAACAGATGGGCTATTTAGAAATCTGCTTACCTTCCAAATATATGAGAATCATCAAATTATATTTTTGTAATTGATTTCCACCTGTATTGCATTGTGGTCAGAGAACATATTTCATGTGAATTAATGCTTTTGAAGTGTGTTGAGACTTGCTTTATTAACTCAGCACACAAATTTTGGTGTATGTGCCTTCTGTGTTTGAAAACTATGCTGCTGAGAGTAGTGTTCTACATGTACATATTTGGCCAAGTTTGCTAATTGCATTAAATATTCTACAACTTAATTTTTTTTAAAAATATATTTTTATTGATTTTTAGAGAGGGAGAGGGATAGAGAGATAGAAACATCAATGATGAAAGAGAATCATTGATTGGCTGCCTCCTGCAAGCCCCCTACTGGGGATCGAGCCTGCAACCCAGGCATGTGCCCTTGGCCGGAATCGAACCTGGGACTCTTCAGCCTGCAGGCCAACACTCTATCCAGTGAGCCAAACGGGCTAGGGCATACTTGATTTTTAAAAAGATATATATTTTATTGATTTTTTACAGAGAGGAAGGGAGAGGGAGAGTTAGAAACATTGATGAGAGAGAAACATCAATCAGCTGCCTCCTGCACACCTCCCTACTGGGGATGTGCCCACAACCAAGGTACATGCCCTTGACCAGAATCGAACCTGGGACCCTTCAGTCTGCAGGCTGACGCTCTATCCACTGAGCCAAACCGGCTAGGGCACAACTTGATTTTTATATGCTTATTTTTCTATCAATCACTGAAATAGAGATGTTAAAAACTCACTATAATTGCTTATTTGCCTAAATTTTCTAGTTCTATCAACTTTTATGTATTTTTAAGATTGTATCATTAAGTGAAAAATTTAGAATTACTTCTAATAATTAAATTGACCCTTTTAATTTTTAATGCTTTTTTGCCTTAAAGTCTATTTATTTTAAAAATATATTTTTATTGATTTCAGAGAGGAAAGCAGAGGGAGAGATAGAAACATTAATGATGAGAAAGAATCGTTGATCCACTGCCTCCTGCATGCCCCACTGGGGATGGGAGCCTGCAACCCAGGCATGTGCCCTGACCATTCATATGTTAACACAACCACTGAGCCATGGTGGCTGGGTTTAAAGTTTACTTTAAAACAATATATCTATAGCTCCCTGTGATTACTGTTTGATGGGTATATATTTCTCCACCCTTTTAAAATTTCTAAGTTCTTATGTTTTAAAAGCATTTATTCTAAATAGCATATGGTTGTTTTGAAAGCAAACCTGTCAATCTTTGTCAACATTGGAGCATTAGCCCATTTACTGTAAGAATGAATCTATAACATAGTTTTTTAAAACTGGATTTATTGGGCACATATTATCTTACAATCCGATTTCTATTTGTCCCACCTGTTTTTCTTCTCTCCTTATCCTATTTTGCAGCTCTTAAGCCTGTCCACTGATTTATTTCATCCTCTCTCATTATCTAAAAGGTTACACACCCTTTTACTAATAGCTATTACAATATGCATCCTTGACTTATCAAAATCTAATATTAAATGGAATTTTTAAATTCTCTTATTGGGTGATGCAAGGGGCTTAGAACACAACTCTATTTAGCCTTCCCCATACCTTTACTTTCAGCACTTCCAAATAGACACAATTGTTTTATGTAGTCAGTGTTTATGTTGATCTGTGCCCTTTTCATTATCATTGCTTGTCAATCCTTATATTCGGGATCAGTATCTTTCTGCCCATAGAACACTCTTCATTTTCCTTTAGGATATGTGTGCTGAGGAATTCTTCCAGTTGTTAGTCTAAAAATGCCTTTTTTCCTTCATTCTTTCAGGATATTTCCCCCATTAGAAATTTCTAGGTTGGCAATCACTTTAGCACTTTCAAGGGACCACTTCATTGTCTTCCATTGTTCCTGCTGAGAAGTCCCTCTCTCCTCCCACTGGGAGCTTAAAAAAAATTTTTTTTTCCCTTTGGTTTTCAACAGTTTGACTATGGTGTGTCTAGGTTTAGATGGTCTGTTTAATGCACTTATTTGTTGGGGCTTCTTGAATTTATGGCTTGATATGTTTTGTGAGATTTAGAAAAGTTCTCGGCCCAGTATTTATGTAAACATCCCATTCTTTTACTCTATTGAGATTCCACCTACATTTTGGTCAGACATTCTCACGGTGTCCTTTCTGTCTCCTACCCTTTACTTACCTTTTAGACCCTGATTTTTCATCTCACTCATTCTCTTCTCAGTTGTCACTAATCTGCTCTTGAATCCATCCATTGAATTATTCTTAATCCTGCTATAGTATGTTTCAGTCCTTGAACTTCTATTTGGTCCCTTTTTATAATAAGTTTCTCATTTTCTTGGCCACAAAAAAATTAGAAAATTTTCTTCTTTGAACACAGAAAGCGTAGCTGTTTCAAATTCTGTGACTATCTGCAGATACTATGGATATGTTTTCTTTGACAGTTTTAATTCATATTATCTCATATACCTGGATATTTCTGATTGTAACATTGTAGAAATAATTTGAGGCCTTGAGTAATACTCCTGTCTCAGTCAGCTTGGGCAGCTGTAACAAGATACCACAGACTGCCTGGCTTAAACAACAGACATTTATTTCTCACAGTTCTGAAGGCTAGATGATGTGATTCCTGGAGAGCCCTCCTCCTGGCTTATAGATGGTAGTCTTCTTGCTGTAACTTCACATGGTGGAGAGAAAGAGAAATCTCTTCCATGTCTTTCCTTCCAAGGGCACTAATCCCATCATGAGGGCCCCACCCTCATGACCTCATCTAAACCTAATCACCTGTCCAAGGCCCTATCTCCTAATACCATCACACTGCAGGTTAGGGCTCAATATATGAGTTGGGAGGTGGGTATACAAACATTCAATCCATAATAGAATGTACATGCGCTAGGCACCTGGGGACACCAGTCGCCTGGTTTCACCTGGATCCACATTCAGGGCCTGGCTCACAGAATCCATGAAGGATAGTCTACTGACAGTCACGGAGGACTAGAAATCTAACCAACCCTCCAGCTAAGGACACCTTGGGAATTTGGCCAAAATATTTAAATCTCTGTTTGCAGTGATCCCGAAGCCAACAGGCTGGTGAAGTGTCACCTGGTCAGTCGCATGGGGCTGCTTTTCCTCTGGGGGCCTTTACAACTCCAGAGGCAGAGCAGCTGGGACTTGGACAGCCCTGGGGAGTCAGGGAGCAGTGGTTGCCATGTACGCCCTGATCAAGGGGGAGGGGGTTCCCAATGAATCTCCCTTGTTTTGGATGGGGGATCCTAAAAGGATATGTGCTAAGGAGAATACATTTTATGCTCCGAGTTCTTAAAAAACAAAATTAAAGTATTTGCTGTGAACTGTGCTATAATCCATTCCTCAGCTTTTCAAATTCAGAGGAAGCCTGGCTCTTCACCAGAGAATGGAAATCCTGACCTCTTGGACTCCAGGAGGTGATGTGGGACACTGGATTAACCCTGAATTTGGCATCAGGAAGCTCAAAGACCAAGTCCCTATTATCCAAATGGCAGCTACTGAACTGCAGGCATAGTTCCTAGGAGGAAATTAAGACCCAAAGGGTTGACCTTGCAAACCCAAGCCTCTATCAACTCAGTTACGCAGGGAGCTTAAATCCCAAAGGCAAGACCCTGGCTCCCCAGAACCTAAAGGACACTGTTGCCAAAGAGTAAGAAATTCAGGGTCCAAAGCACCCCCCTCCCCAGCGTCTCTCATGGGCGTACCCTAACAAGCTCAAGGAAGTTGACTGATGCTGGTCCTATGTTCTGGCCTCTCCGTCTTCTGCTTTGCCAGCTCTTGCGATTTCCTTCCAAAGGAGAGGACGGTGTGCGGTGCACTTTCTATGCTTCACCTTTAGGGACCTTCTTTTCCTTCCTTTCTCTGCCTTCGCCCTCGAGCGGCTCCATGCCCTGCTCTGCTGCACCGTTGAACGTGGCTGCCCTGTGATGCCCACGTGGCAAGGCTGCTGTTCACAGATCCCAGCACCGGCCTCAATCGGCGACAGTGGGAACCAGTTCTGCTTTTGAAGCTTTTTTGTACAGTCCTTGAGCTCTTGAAAGATAAGGTGCTAGCGAAAGGGGCACGTTCTTTTAAAGATAAATATTGTGGCAGAACCCTTTGTTGGTAAGCTGACACACTGCAATAACAGCTTCGTATCGTGGATGAAATCAGATGTTAATTTCCCTCCTAACACATGACGATCCTGTATGGCCTCATTCTACCCATTTTTACTTTGTGGAAAACAAAAAAATTTCCAAACAAATTAATGCAAGCGTAATTCAATGATGTCATTTAAATTTATTGTCATGTAATGAATCTTTCACAAAAGCAAGCAGCTCCTGGCGGGTTTGTGCAGCGGCATCAGGGATGGGCACGCACACGCTGCCTCTGTGGCCGCAGCCCCGCTGGGCTTTCAGGCCAGTGGGCACTTCCGCTGTGCGGTGATGAGAGGAGCAGGGGGAGGAGAGGAGACGGGGCTCTGGGGGCACCTCGGTGAGCCAGGCGGCCGGGGGAGACTGGGGCTCCTCTGGTCACAAGAGCTGACGGCCCTGCAGCCCACTGGCTGTCCCGCGGCACTGCCCAGCCCTCAGCCCTGAGGACACTTCTCAGGTCCCACCAGAGACTCAGCTACCCTACGTGACCCTCTGAAAATTTTGTGTTTTGGTTTCATGGAAGCAAATCAAATGCTTCAGAAACAAATTAAAGCTATCCGTCCTTTCCCCACGTGGGAGCTTTGGTTTCAGCGCTGGTCTGGGCGAGGATAAAACTGCCCAGCCGACCTCAAAGGCCTGGAAGATGGAGCAGCCCAGGCCTTTCCCGGGGGACACGCCGACGTGCATGACGTGTCCTTTTCCGAGACTGTGATGGGCTAGGCACCCGCCGGGGACCTGGGGACAGAAGCTGGTTCCTGAGAGGGCCGGAGGCAGGCTGCAGCGGATGCTCAGGCTCCCGTGGAATTATGTGCTTTTGTCTTCGTGCAGGAAACTGCTTCTCATCCAGACTGTGCAGGGGCGACGGGACGTGGAGCGGGCTCGCCGGGACGCCCACGCCTTCAGTGCCTGCTGGGCTGAGGGCCGCTGCCGGCTCCCTCGGAGAAGCGCCTTCCTCCAGCTCAGGGACCCAGCGCGGTCATCTAGGCCCCAACGAGTTTAAACCACGTCAGAAACAAAGAGAAAAACGTGTTTTTCATCTCCTGTGGATACTGTATTAATCAAATTGGTCTCCTTTTTCTCCCATGAGTCTGGCTGAAGAAAAAAGATTGCTTTTGAAATGAAGCTTTCTTTTCCTAATGATTAATACAGAGTGGATTAACTTAATTTGTACTAGACTCCAATTTAATTCAGCCACAGCACAGAGGCCAAATCCACAGAAAAGCCGAGCTGGGCTTCATGAGGCGGAGCCATTTCCTTTTTTGAGGGAAAGATGCAGGGGATCTAAAGGCTTAGCCAACTGCCCGGGCACCGTGTTTATTAAATCACCACACAGACGACTTCATTTCCTCATTAATTCCTGTCTCGTCATCTTTTCAGATTGGTATTTCTCAGTGTTGAAAGAAACACACATATACATACACACGCGACTAAAACAAAAACCTTGAACATGCAAAAAAATAGAATGTCCTGGGGAAGTATCATGTGCCTAAGGCGGCGGGTTCCTGGGAAAGCTCTTGGTTCTGGTTTAGAAATAAATAAAATTGCATGTGGGACAGCAGGTTGGATATTTATTATTGTTGTGCCCCCCCCCTTTGTACTATAATCGAAGCCGAGTGATCTACTGCCAACTGGCACCGATGCTCCACATCCGAGTGTGCAAGGGAAACACGCCTGTTTCCTGATCCTAACAGGAGACACACCAGGCCATCTCCCAGGTCTGTTCGCCAGAAAAAAAACACGAGAAGGTGCTTGGTGGTGGGGCGGGCGGGGCTGCCCTCAGTCGGAGTCCATCGTGAACAGCTGGATGTCCTGCGGGCTCCAGTACAGGCCGGTGGCCGAGCTGTACACCAGGGACCAGACGTAGGGGATGAAGAACTCCTCGGGCTGCTCCTCTTCCACATACTTGAATTTCAATTCCGGAAACTTCTGCAACGAAACAAGACGAGTTTATAATCGCGCCGTCCCATACTGTGTGCGGGGGCCCCTCCCCGAGGCGGCCACGGCTGGAGAGCTCTGGGGCTTTCCCAGCTCCGCTCCCACAGGACTCCTCAGAGCACGGCGGTTCCTGCAGGAAGGGCACCCGCCCCCCTCGGCACCCCGAGAGGAGCAGGGGCCCGAGAGGGTGGGCACCTCAGACTGCGAGACGGGGCCTGCGTGGGACCCTACAGCACGGAGGGCAGCTGCCCGTGTGGGACTTGGCTCCAGGGCCGTCACCCTGGAGAGGAGCACCTTCCGGCGCAACCCCTCAGCTTGGGCGGCGGACGGGCACCCACTGGGTGGAGCGCTGGCATCCGGGTGGCAGCTGCTCTGCACAGTGTAGCTCGCCACCTCCTGCGAGGGCCAGTTGGTCAGCGGAGGGAAGCACTAGCTCCAGCACTTCTGACCGGCGGGGCCTCCATTAGGCCGCCCAGGCACCCATTTCCTCGCCAGCCTCTTAGGAGGTCCCGGGCATCCCTACCCCGGCCAGCACGTAACTGCCAAGCAGCTGGGTGGTTTCTCGGAGGCCCAGGCCCTTGGCCTCTTGAACGAGCCTCCTCACACTCTGTGCTGCTTCTGGCCTGGCACGGGTGCCAGGTGTGAGGGGACAGGGCTCTTGGAGGTGGCAGTTAGTCTTTGTCATGAAATCAGGTGTCTTACAGGTAGCAACAGTGATACTCTTTTCTGTGAAAAACTGGCATCTGTAGCAAGAGGGTGCAGCCAGCAGCTGCCTCCAGCCGTGCTCTGCACCACGGCCGTCTGCAATGTTCCCATTCAGCCACCCCACTAATGGGAGGGGCAGCAGGGCCTGCTCTGGGCACCTGGCCTGGGCTGTCGTGGGGAGCAAAGCCGAGGTCTGAGCGGGAAAGTCAGTCTGAAAGTGTCACCACAGCCACCCTAGCACTTGGTCCTTGAACTCCATTCTCCCAGCCCCCCGGGGCCCTCGGGGCTAGTTCTGTGCCCTGTCACTGCAAGACAGAACCCACCACACTGGTCCTTAAAAAATGACCAAACGCAGAATGAGGTCAGTTATCAAGAATGGATGGGGCTGTGTTTGAAGAAGAAATGTATCCCCTAATAACAAGGAAGTCCTACTTCTTAGAATGGCCTCAAACTCTAGAAAACCCCTCCCAGTGACGTGGAGAGAAGGGGTGGGGGGAAGTGCAGGGCTGGTGGTTTGGGGGGCCAGCCCCCACACTGCCTACAGCGGGAGTCTAACACCTGCTTCTATGTGGTCAGTAGCCAGGAAATGCACTCCAGTCAGAAATCAGAATGACTGACAGATGCACAGCCCTGTGGCATCGTTGGGGTTCCCCTGTGGAGGCCTTAGGGCAGGATGCAAGGTCACTTACACTCTGCATCTCCACGGAGGTGGGTGGGAAAGAATGAGCCAGCAAACTGCTTCAGTGAGAATTCCTTCTCACTGAACTAAAGAGTTAGGCAAGAGCCCCTATTGGGGTGGGGCTTCGGGGAAATTCTGGTGACTGCTCAGTTAGAAAGAGGCACGAGTCCCAGAGTTGTACTCCTGAAACCTGTATGGTTCTTCGATCCAATGTCACCCCAATTGCTTAAAACCAAGACACACGGGAGGTGTAGAGCTGCTGTGGCCTGAGAGCTGGTGCAGGCCCGCCCCCCTCCGGCTGGGCGCCTGTGACTGCCTCCCGAGGGTGCACCACTGAACACAGGGACCAAGGGCAAGGCCAGGAGGGCTCCATTACTCGCAAAACCTGCACGCTGCAGGCGGCCACGCACCCCCCACGCTCCTCTCTCCACAAGGGAACAGTGAGCGGCAAGACATTATTTCTTGTAACTTTTCATCAGCACTTATAAGATCCAGAAAGGGGGATAAAGCATAAAGAGCAAGAAAAACAGAAGCATGTCCCTAGGACAGTGGTCGGCAAACTCATTAGTCAACAGGGCCAAATATCAACAGTACAACGATTGAAATTTCTTTTGAGAGCCAATTTTTTAAAACTTAAACTATATAGGTAGGTACATTGTTATTAACTTAATTAGGGTACTCCTAAGCTGGCCTTTGCTAAAAACGTCCTCAATCTGATTGAAGTACGTTCACTGAGGTCGACCCCTTCCAACTCTCCCATCCACACTCGTCTTGTATACTTATTTCGTCTATCTCCTTTCGTTCATCCTCTCTATATGTCCAAACCATCTCAACATACCTAAAAAAATGTTTCATTTTATAATAATAAAGTCACCATCACAAAATAATGACAATTCTTAAACTGATGACAAAAATACCTGTAGGATTTGCAGCTGGTTGGAAAAATACAGGTAACTTTATGCTTCGAGTAGGTACTTTTGTCACCCGCACACGATTTGCGGACGCGACTAGCACTAACCACTGCACAATGAGACTGCTGACTGGCTGGCTCACTCAATTCGTGCATGAATCGCGCGCGCCTCCCCCGCACTGCGTATGCCGTCGCCCGACCGACCGACACCCCCTTCTTCTACCGCCACTTCTTCAAAATAGACTCGCCCAGGCCAAAACCGACTTCTGCGCATGGGCCACGAAGTTTCAATCCCACTGTACCTGCGCACCCGTACATGGTATTTTGTGGAAGAGCCACACTCAAGGGGCCAAAGAGCCGTATGTGGCTCATGAGCCGCAGTTTGCCAACCACGGCCTAGGACTCACTACACTAAGCTAACACTGGAAAGCGCAAAGTAAGAGCTTCCATTTCCTGCAGCGAGCCGTTTTTAAGAGTGCACTGGGAACATTATAAAAGGGAGAATAAGAGGCATAAGTCATACAAGAGCTTTGAAAACACCATCTGGTCAACCCGAGTGTGAACGCAGCCTCTGAGGGCGCGCTGTGCCCGAGCTGCATGTAGCCCGCCCCTCCCGCAAGCCTACCACAGCTAGAGAGAGGGCAGCATGGTTCGAGATTTAAACAGACCTCTAAACAAATAGTGCTCCTCTAATCTGTCGCAGAAGCCTGGGAGCTAAGGAAAAGGAAGACAAAAGGTTTTATTTAGCACTGATGACACTGGGGACACATTTTGTCAGGATTCAGTCCAAGAAGTGTCATAGTCTGAATGTCAGATCAACAACCTAGAAAGAGTCACTCTTTCCTCTCCTCCTTTTCCAGCCGGGGGAGAACAATGATGCCATCCTGTGATGGCCGAGGGAAGTCCCACTTCCTCACTCGAGGGAGCGTCTTCACTCCTGACTCCGCCAACAAAGTCCCTGCTTCCCCGGGCCCAGGCCACGAGGTGCTCCCAGGCCTGCCCAGCGCTGACCACCCATCTTCTCTCCAATTCTCAGGCCCCTGTGGGCCCCAGGTGGTGACAACTGGGGGGCGTCCTGAGGACCACTAGGGCCTGGGAAAGCGGAGGGTGGGGCTGGGGGTGGGGCTTTGGTTTGGTGGTTGCGGCAAGAATTCACCTGGAGTGTGCCAGCAGCGGGCTTCAGCCCCCCTCTCCAAGACAGTTGTCCTGTGACTCAGTTAAGGAGAGAAAACGCGTCTCTCAGGCTTGGAGCTTGGTCTCAGTCCAGAGCTACTGACAACAATCCTGTTGTTTTGATATTTGGAGCCAGAGGTAATGCTAGACTCTCAAGTTTGGCCGGAATGTTTTTATCAGCTCCAGTGAATCAACCCACCACAGCGGGGCATCCGGACGCCCAGCCCAGAGACAAAGCAAAGGTCTGATTTAGTGGTTGAGACTCGGGTATAACAAGCAGACCAAACGCTTTAAAGACGGTCTCTGCTGTCAGTCATGTGATCTGGTGAAAACCCACAGGATGTTCAGTGAACAGATGTAGGGCTCAACTGCAATAATTTTATTACCACAAAAAGTTCAATGGCGTTTTCCCCCTTCCACCCAAAGATTACACAGATAGCACCCGAAATTCTAGCAAGCCCCTGGCCCGGCTCCAGAAAGCTTAGTGCAATTTAAAATCAAACAGCTACATAGCACATTAAAAAGAACTTTCTGAAAGACCACAATAAGCCTCTGAGTAGATGAGTGATGGGCGATGGTCCGTGCGAACCACTCGTGACCACCGGCAGGTGTGGGGGTCAGGCTGCAGGAGGGAGTTCCCGTGAGCAGTGCACACAGGCTTGGGGTGGGGTTCTGTGCACGTGCGAAGTGAACTGGTTTAAAGATCCCACCATGAGACAGGGGAAACATTTACATACATTTTTTAAAAACCCAGGGCTGATTTGGGGATGATTATCAGCTCCACCCCATTCCTTCCCCAAATACTCCTGCTGCGTAACACCAAGTCCTCCAGTGGCGGGTCCTGGCCTTGGTGAGCACCAGCTACACACGAGGCTATGCTGAGCCGTGGAGGAGAAAGGGGAGGAGCGCGCTCCTCTAGCACCTGGCGGTTAGGAGGAGGGACAGGGACAGTGGGCGCATGGCCTCTCCCACGTGGACCTGGCTATCACTGGGGGGGAGAGCTGACCTGGGCCTGGACAGCAAACTCTAGGAGAAATACTCAACTGACAAATCCGGAAACATCCACATACTAACTCAGCTAACTTACGGCTCAGCAAGTCTGAGCCACAGGCTCTTCTGTGTGTAAGGGAACGAGTTACAGACGTATCCATATTATTACTTAACTGACAAAAAGATACCCAACCGTCTGTGAGTAACAGTAACGCTAAATGTGGCATAATTCTGTATTATGTGAATTACTTTCAAAATTAATGAAAAACTAAATTCAAACTATCGACAATTATGAAGGGCCACTTAATAAAAGTTACAGATTAAGAACTCCGAAGCTAAAATGGAGAAGCCCATGATGAGGGCCGCTCAGAAGACGGTCACTACACTGCACGTGTGAGAGCCTCACGGCCGGCCAGGCACAGGGTCTCGGGGGGCTGGCTGGGAGTAAGTTTCCACCCAAGCGGAGAGTTACAAGGTAAGCAGACCCCTATCCTGAAAGCTCAGGCCAGGGGACCAACCACATCTCACTCAAGA